AGGTTCAGATCTGTCCTCGCAGAGGAGGAAGAGCTTGTACCTGAATAAAACTTGGTCTTAAAGGTGCCACTGGAATGTTTTGAACCGGGGGGCTGGGGGGAGCTCTGCAACTTACCTGGCTGCTTCTTGCTCTGACTGAGGGTTGCTGGGAGCAGGGGGTGGGGCTTGTTACATGTTCCCGCCCCCTGAGCTCTTTACTGCCGGAGCTCAGCTCCTGTGCGCTCCCCCAGGAAATGACCCCTGCCCTTTCTTGCTGCAGACATCAGAACTTCCAGCCGTTCCCGGAGGTCCCCTCCCACCCCACCGCGGAACAGCCTTCTGGGGGCCTTTGGGGCGGCAACAGGAGGTGGGGAAGCCCCACTGTGCAGACAGAAATCCTGTCTTTTCACAGAAATCTCCAGTAGCTCCAACCTAATGCCGATGGAGGCTCCCAGCATATGTTGACATGAAGCTGCTTCTACTGAATCGGACCCTCGGTCCATCTGGGTCAGTCTTGTCTCCTCACACTGGCAGTGGCTCTCCAGGGTCTCAGGCAGAGGCCTTTCCCATCACCTACTGCCTGCTCCTTTTCACTGGAGATACCGGGCATTGAACCTGGGACCTTCTGCATGCCAAGCAGAGGCTCTGCCACTGAGCAAGCGTCTCAGGTCAAAGTCTTTCTCATCATCTTCTTCCTGCTCCTTTTAGCTGGAGATGCCGGGGATTGAACCTGGGACCTTCTGCATGCCAAGCAGAGGCTCTGCCACTGAGCCAGGGTCTCAGGCTGAGGTCTTTCTCATCACCTCCTGCCTGGTCCTTTTAGCTGGAGATGCCGGGCGTTGAACCTGGGACCTTCTGCATGCCAAGCAGAGGCTCTGCCACTGAGCCAGGGTCTCAGGCTGAGGTCTTTCTCATCACCTCCTGCCTGGTCCTTTTAACTGGAGATGCCGGGCGTTGAACCTGGGACCTTCTGCATGCCAAGCAAAGGCTCTACCACTGAGCCAGGGTCTCAGGCTGAGGCCTTTCCCATCACCTCCTGCCTGCTCCTTTTCACTGGAGATGCCGGGCGTTGAACCTGGGACCTTCTGCATGCCAAGCAGATGCTGCGCCACTGAGCCACGGCCCCACAATCACAGCGACATCAGCGTAAGATTGTCAGTGGCTAAGGAAAAGGACTTCTGGGCCCTTCGTAGTCCCTGGTCTTTCCCCGTGCTTGGTAGAGCCAAAATAAATTACGCGCATAGCTTCCACCAGTCACAGATTCCCACTTTTCCTCATCTAGAACAGTGGTAACTCAGTGGCTCGGGATCCACGGGTGCCTCTTTCGCACGCTACCTGTGGCTCTTAGGGGCACTGTTCCGAATGTCGTCGTGTTGCCGGCTCTGGGTTGAGAAATATCTGGAGGTTTGGGGGGCAGAAACCAGGCCGAGCAGGGTTTGGGGAGGGGAGGGACCTCAGCAGGGCGTAATGGCACAGATTTCGCTCTCCAGAGCAGCCATTTTCTCCAGGACAACCAATCCCGGTCGCCTGATGATCAGTTGTAATAGTGGGAGATCTCCGGGTGCCGCCTAGAGGTTGGCAGCTCTGTATAATGTATCCACCCTGTGTTTCAGGAAACCTCTGTCCCGATCTGGCCCTGCCCTGTGTGGCCCTGTCTCTCTGGCCTTCTCCCTGTTTTTCCTCTTCCCCCCTGGCCCCGTTCACCTTTCACCGTTCTTTTTGTCCCTGCCTGTCTCCAACCCTGCTTCACTCTGTGGCATCCACACCTCCTTCCCTATGTCTGTTGCTGTTCAGTCGCACAGTCGAGTCCAACTCTTTGCGACCCCATGGACCAGATCCCGCCAGGCCCTCCTGTTTTCCGCCGTCCTCTGAAGTTTGCTCAGTTTCATGTTCGTTGCATCTATGACACTGTCTAACCATCTCAGCCTTTGCCATCCCCGTCTTCTTTGACCTTCAATCTTTCCCAGCATCAGGGTCTTCTCCAGTGAGGGCTCCCTTCTCATTTGGTGGCCAAAGTATTTGAGCTTCAGTTTCATTATCTGGCCTTCCAGGGAACAGTCAGGGTTGATTTCTTTTAGGATTGACTGATTTGATCTCCTGGCAGTCCAAGGGACTCTCAAGAGTCTTCTCCAGCACCATAGTTCAAAAGAATCTATTCTTCGGCGCTCGGCCTTCCTTATAGTCCAACTCTCACAGCCATACATGACTCCTGGGAATACCATTGCTTTGACCATGCGGACTTTTGTTGGCAGGGTGATGTCTCTACTTTTTATCATGCTGTTTAGGTTCGCCATCTCTTTCCTCCCAAGGAGCAGGCGTCTTTTAATTTCATGGCTGCTGTCACAGTCTGTGGTGATCTGGGATCCCAGGAACGTGAAGTCTGTCACTTCTTCCCCATGTCTATTTGACTGGAATTTACTTCAGCTTGTCTATCCAACCCGCCTCAACTATTTTTTCCCCTCAGGCAGATACTTAACCCAGGACTCCCTCCTTGGGAAAAGGCCCACCCTCTGTGAAGATCTCATTTTTCATCTCCCCCCCCCACATAAAACACAAGACAGCATAATGGGACCCCCTCAGGGTGAAGGAGCAGGGCAGGCCGCAGCTCCTGAGACAGCAAGTCAGAGGGGCAGCATAGTGCTTGGACCTGGGTTCGAATCCTGACCGCCACAAAGCTTGCACGGGGACCTTAGCCTAGTCACGCTCCCTCAGCCTGACCGACTTCACAGCGTTGTTGTGAGAATGAAACGGAGGAAGGAAGAAACACGCACTCCTGTCCTGCGCACTTTGGAGGAAAGGCATGATTTTTTAAAAACCTGTGATCGTTAGGGAATGGGCCTGCCA